CTATCATCATATTATGCAATTTCACCCTCTGTGCACAGAGGAACCCAGTAAAGACCCCGAGTTTGCTATGGCTGAATGTCAATAAACCTTCGTACACCATTTTTGCGCCTCTCGTACCCGTTCAACCACAATTACCTCACCTTAATGGTCTTGACTGACAATAATTGCCTTTTTTCTACCAGTTACCTCCCGTCTTCGTGAAACAAGAAACACAAGTTGATTTCATTAAGTACCTGTGTATTTGGTCTAACCCACAAAATACATATGTATAATAGTGCTGAAAATTCGATTTCCGGGTGGTAGATCAGAAGAAAGAGGAGCGTTCACCGGTGAACGCCCCTCTTTCTTCTGACATATGTATAAGCCTAAAGAGGACTCTGAAAATCGAAATTATTCAACCCAAATCATTTTCTGAATTCATTGAATTAAAATTTGAAACCAATTCTGATCCTTCCGCAGTTCTTCAATTAAGACGTCGTTTTGGTGAATAGGCATTTTCATACTGAACTAACTTTGCAATAACTGTTAGGCGCGTCTCCAGAAAGTAGCACACGAATAATAGCAACCGAAGCGGCTATTTTTGATGATTAAATTAAAATTTTATGGCATGACAGTTTCCGGATGCTTTAAAAATTGGAATTATGGAGAGGAGGACAAACTTATCTCTCGAAGTCGCTTAGTTTAATAATGATTATTCAGGATGCGAAACTCGGTTGTAAACTTGCATCTCATGAATTAACTGACCTACTGTCTGATCTGCTCATCATCCAGGTTATTAAGAAGCATGGCTCATAGTCGGCTTTGGTTCAATGTAAAATCTTGGTAATAAATTGCGATCCGCTTCTTCACCTATCGAAGTACAATTCTGGCATGAATCCCTTGATGCTGTCATAGGCGTTAGTAAAAGAAGCAAGAACACACTTTTGTATTCTTGGTCAGGTGCCTTGATGGCTTCTTTGCCAGTAATTAAGTGACCTAGATAGCAACTACTTAAGTCAATGGCTCATGAATTTTTGCTTGCCCTTTTTATTACTAACGTATTACACGTAGGAGGGAAAACAACCTATAAAAGTCAAATGTTTTCACCTCCTGGAGGAGAAGCAAAAGGGTAGTGTCAATAACTTCCGTGGTTGGTTTATTTTCTATTTATTTGGTGTAGCTACTAGGCAATGCCCTTGAAAACCCTATTGTGTGCATAATGCCGAGTTCCGATAATACGTAAGTCTGTATTTCGTATGATTATAGAATACCCGGTTAAATGTTCATACATAGTGGGCAAACGTCACGCTGTTTAGAAACACATTTGAAAACATTGCAATGCACTAAATTATCGAAGTTGACTTATAAGATGATTTCTAGAAGGTGTGGACACAGGTATGCAGGTAGATACATCAGAAGGAAAAGGAAAAAAGGTAATTAAACGTTTTTTTCTAAACGCCTATCCTTTCGTAATTTGAGATCATGCGTTTGCGTTATACTATGGCTTCATTACAAAAAACAAGTAAAGACAAAACTAAAAAAATAAAACAGAACGTGTGTTGGTTATGTCATCAGGGTAATATAATTTTCGGTTTAACTACCGAAAAATCGCTTAATTGAATTTATACGCTACAAACGCATAATTAACTATAGGCTAAAGAAGCAACTGGGACTGTAAACTATCACAGGGTTATGTACAAATTGATTTTAGAATTAGAAGGGCCAGATCATTTAGCATAAACAGAAAGTGCGGAATTAACTTTAAAAAAATAGAGGTTCCTTTTTGAATTTTCGTATGACATCCAAGCTAAGTTACTACATTGCTGAAAATATTTTCCCACATTTTCAGATACCGCGTTGATGGAACAGTGGCAGAATATGAATGCGTGTACCATTCTGAAAAGCCTTTCCATGAAATGCCTAGTTAGAAGTTAGCAGAAGTATGCAGTGCAATTACGAACCGTTCTTTTTATCTTTTTGAGGCCATCACGTTAAATCCCATAAAAGACCTGTATTACCTCTATCCTCTTATTAACTGTAGCCTTGTGCCATAGCTAAGGGGAACACATGTCCCTGTCAACTGACTCGAGTAAATGCGCTAAGGTAAGTAAAGCATGACTTTTAACCCCTAGTTTTAATCTTCTAACACAAAATGTGGTCACAATTCACAAAACAGGCACATTTTCATTATGGACGAGGCATTTTTACATAACAGTGCTGGTGGGAACATTCTGCAACCAGAAAATAGCAATAGTCGATCGATAATTGTTTTTTAAAAATATTAGGCTTCACCTATTGTCCACAGAATTTCAGATTGGCTGGAAGGTCCGCCCACTCCAAAGACACTGCAAATTATCGGGGAAACAAGATGCTATTTTTTCGAATTGGAATGGACTGAATTTGAGAAAAGCAGTTGTAATCGCTGGCACAATAAGTTCATTCGACTGACGGTTTGGATTCCGTCGCGGATCCAACATCAAAGACAACAGCAGAAACGAAGCAAGGTGTGAACTTGTTTGTCCCCAGTGTAATACTCCTGTGCTGCATAAAATGACGAATATGGGAGAGCTGGGACAGTTGTTTGAGGACGAATCCTAAATCATGTTCGATGCTGGGACGGAATGAGCTCTGAACTCATTCAAATAAATTCCTTGTTACAATTCTCCCATTTATCCTACGCTAGGCGGTCGATAACTGACTGCGATGTAGCTAAGAAGCAGATTCTCACAACGAATTAACATAGCAGGAAGGCAACAGATATCGGTATGAACACAGGGGAACATAATTGACCGCCGCACCGGTGATCCAGCGTATGCTGACTCGTCCGCACACGCAAGCAACTGTCGTTGGCACCCATTTAGGCATTAGAGGTTATCGCAGTCGTCAGTCTTTTATAACAACAACACCCAGCGTGTCGGTGAGCGCACCCGAAGAGCGTACTACCTCAATTGCAGAAACAAAATACGTGTTCATAGGATGGTCTTTCTAATGGATGCCACAAGCGAACTGGTAAGACGACGTCTGAAAACAGCGATCACAGGCGCTTTCCCCGCGGCGAACCTACGCGTATTCTTCACGAGATCTCCACACTTTCGCTTGAGAGATAAAGACTGACTCCCGCTTAAGGCCTCATCGATGTGTATTTAGTCTTTCACCTGCTCCTATGGAGCAGGATACATTGGCCGAACAACGAAGCGCCCGGAAAAGAGGGTCCATGAAGGCATACTTGCCTGGATAGGTAAAGGCAAAACTACAGCTAATTCGAGTTCTATTCTCACACACCTAGTCAATGCTTATCACTGAGTTCATCCCAATGAGGCCTTCCAGATTGTCTTCCGGACGCCAACCAACTTATCTAAGGGCCCACGCCAACGGCTGTTGAAAATAACCAAAGTATCGGCTATATGTTTAACGAGTCCAGTTTACTCATTAGTTTGTTACCGACGCCGAATTCAGGTGGTGTTCACAAGTCACTCCCAAACCTAAAGACGGTTTTTGCTCCGCGTACTTGACAGTCATGTCGACTTCCCGCACTCGACCTACGAACATCGTTCACAGTTTACTCTACTTCCCCCCTTCCCCAGTCCCAATGACCTCAACTTGTCGACCTCGCCAAGCGGACGGCTTCAAAACGACGAGTACTACCCATAAGATATTCATAAATCCCAGCAAACTTTCATGTTTTCATGATCGATGTGAATGTACAGCTCCGATAATTAATCACTGCAACCATATGTTTGTTTAGTTTAATTTTCAAGCTTAACATGGTAAGCTTCGCAGGAATCAATAGTCAACTTCCATTTTAAGATGAGCGGTGCACGAACGCAAAGGATGGCATGTGGCTCCACTAAAAAGTAAAAAGTACCGTCTAGCAATGTGCACCAACGTCCACTGATATACTCGACCGTGTCATAATACTACTTACGTTTATCAGAACCTAAAGTTAGCAGAAAACCTTTTAAGTAATTTCATGGACCAGAAAGAATATCAGGATCGTCTACTGCACTCGGTATGAAAGAAAATATTTTCCATGGAAGAAAAATTGTCTAAAACACTGATCGGTCTAGCATTTCCCGAACTAGGACTTTTCTCATTCGATTCAATCGTAGCAGCGTTTACCGTAAGCAACGTCCTTAAAGATGTTTAGCCTTCACGAGAAAATAGCCTTTTGCGAAGAATTGTTGGCAATACCTTTTGAGTGCTGTTAACCCATTGTCACAAAAGCGCTTGCGTAAGCTGCAGACAAGACGGGATCCCGTGCATTCCGTCCTGCGATCCTGACAGATGGCCACACGTCAGTTCGAATGAACCAGCTATTCACGATCTCAGCAGACAGGATAGAGAGCCGTAGTGCCGTTGCGGGTACCCTGACTCAGAGTGGGCTTAGTTGGATTCAAACCTCCGAGGTGCCAACAAATGGGAAATTGAGTAGCGTTGTTTGATGTTGGCCGATCATAAACATTCGAGTGCCGCTTACTGTGTCTGTGAACACTTCTCCGTTACTGATTGCTAGTGGCCATGACATGCAGCGGCACTTAACCCGATATTTCAAAGAACACTTAAAGGACTACTTCCTTTCCTTCGTATGAAGTGAAGCAGTGAACGGTGATATGATATTTATTAACTATAATACTGAAACAGGTAGAAAGTCACTCCCATGAAAACGACATGATTCAAATTCATATGGGTGTGCAATTTTCGCATAGACTTATAATGTGCTCTTAAGATCCTAGACAATTTAGCATAATACATTAAAAAACCTAACGCCTGTAGAAAGCTGCCGACACCAAATATTTAGCATAGGCATGACTAAGAAATGTAATGTGAAGCTTTATTTAAGGAGAGCTTGAGTAGGTTTTGTGTATACCAGCACATCAGATCATTTTCCCTGTCAACTAAAAAAGGGGACATGAAACACGAATACAAATAAAAAAAAAACCCTCCAGTAACAATTTCAGATCAGGATTTGCTCTTGGAAGGGATGCAAGGGACTTGCTTTAAAGTCCTGTTCGGCAGGATTATTAAATTGTTTCAATAAATTCCGCATATATGTTCTGATCAGCGCAGTAGTCAGCACCTTGCAAATCTAGATCGAAACTAGGAGAACTCTTTGTAGAGAGGGGACTGTTGACCGAGGAGGTAACGGGGGAGTAGACACCGGAAGAAAGCCAACTGGGGTTGTCCATCGGCTGAGAAAGTGGACTGTACTCAATATGTGGCGACTTGATCCAGGTCTCCTCGAAAAAACACCCAGATGGTTGATATGGAGGGCTTAGCAGAAGAGGTGGCTCCAGATTAACCATTTGTGGATCAAAACGTGGTGCCGGTGACTGGCAGGAAAAGCACGGCACTGGTTCGAGCGTCTCGTTCGGCGTTCCGACAGGGGAGAAAAGGGGGTTTCTCACGATATGGTTCTCAACTACCGAGTGCCTTTGTGGTGTACAACCGCGCTCTATTCCAGGACAAAGAACTGTTTCCTGAAACACTGCAATCGTTTTGCGCCGGGCCGGGTTCTGACTGACAGGTCCTAGCACATTAATTTCGAAAACGGAGTAGCCGTTAGCACTATCTTTATGCAGCTGGATATTTTGTTTTGAAGAGTTTGGTGTCACTAGATTCTGCTCGATGTCAGAGGAATCACTAGCGGTCTGGCCGTCGCCGGGTGTCTTCGGACCGAGAGCCCGCAGGTCCTCTTTAGTCTCCGTCAGTTCCGGTGAAGGAGAAAGTATATTTACGGTGACCCCAGGGCATGCCTTAGTATCATTCACTGAGTATACATTAGACTGTACCCGTTGCTCCTGTGAATTCGACTGCTGTGGAGGTTTCCTCGGTGAACCAGGCGATCTCTCTGATGGAACAGTTTTGCTGACCCGCTTCTGTGCACGTACATCTTGGCGGACTTTTCGACCGTCTCGTTTTCCAGGAATCTGACTGCTTGTTTGTAGATGATGCGTCACAGAAGATGTGTCCTCCCTAGGTTCAATACTACTGACAGAACTGTGTCGGTTGCTACTTGTTGTTCCACCGGAGCCCCCATAAATGCCCGTTTGGGAACGCACGGAAGATTTACAGCCAGTGTCAGCTTCGGTGTCTTCATCGTCCTCCGCGATCGCATCCTCTTCATCATCCTCGTCCTCCTCGCGAAGATTCCCACTAAAATCACTGACACCTCGTGTGCTAGAGGAACGTGCTGAAAGATTGCTGCGCCAGCCGTTTCCGTTGCTACGCCAACTGTATCTTGTCTTTCTGTGTAAACCGCCATTACCTTCACTGTGAAGCAGTGACTTTTCAGCACCATATTTGGAAGTTGTAGACCAGTGCTTGCGTTTCACTATGATTAGTAAAATAATACCAAGAATTAGGGCAAGGCTAACACCCAGCAAGCCCCCAATTAAAGCGGAAAGATGCCAATTTTGCGTGGCGGCTTCAGTACACCGCAGCTCAAAAGCGTAATTTTCGGGGGCTTTGATATTTAGCGAGTGACGCTGCTGCCAAGGCAAGACAGTTGTCAGAGTTGGACGCTTTGTGGACGTTTTCCCTAGTGATTTTGCTTGCTCCCCGGTGATTAGTGGGCCAGGTTTTGGGACATCG